GACTTATTTCACCTGGTATGACACCCTCTAGAGCCATCCACGTTGTCACAAATGGCAAGATTCCCTTCTTTTTAATGCCCAGGTCATACTCCATTGTACACGGATCCTACTACTTTTTCTACTTTTCTGTAGAACAATGAGCTGCTTCCACATCTTGGCTATTGTAGATACTGCAGTGAACGTAGGAGTGCATACATCTTCTCCAGTTAGTGTTCTGGACTTTTCCGGATTCCGGTGGGTGGAACTGCTGAGCCTATGGTGGTTCTATTTTTAACCTTCCAGGAACCTCCGTAACTGGTTTCCACAGTGACCGCGCTGACTGGCACTCCCGTCAGCAGTGCAAAGGCGCGCCTCCTCTCCGCATCCTCACCAGCACGCACCGTCCCCTGCAGCCATTCTGACAGCCCACTGGTGCCTGTGGTTTTAGTTTGCCTCTCCCTGACTGCCCACGTTGAGCATCCTTTCATGCATCTCCTGGCCATCTGTACGTCCTCTTCAGAGAAGTGCCTAGGTCCTCGGCCCATCTTTGATTGATTTTTTTGAGGTTGTATGAATTCATTCTATATTGTGGATATTTACCCCCTATCAAATGTATCATTGGAGAGTTATCTCCCACCATTCATCCCTTTTATTTCTATATAAGTTGGTGGTCTCGCCCCCTTTTTTCATGTCTCTGTCCTTTTCCCAACCCCATTTACTCAAGACTGTCTTTATCCCACTGTATAGTCTTGCCTCCTCTGTCATGAACTAATTGGCCACGTAGGTGTGAATTCATTTCTGGGTTCTCTATTCTGCTCCATTAATCCACGTGTCTTTGTGCTAGTACGATACTTTTAAATACAGGCTGGTGGTATACTTCAATATCGATTTACCTACAACATTGTTCTTTCTCAAAATGGCTTCAGTGATTTGGGGTGTTTTGTGGTTCCATGTAGATTTTAGAATTATTCTATTTCTGTGAAAAATGCCATTGGTATTTTGATAAGGAATGCATCAAATCTGTGGGTTTCTCTGGGTAGAATAGACTTTTAGAGACATTAATTCTCTCTACCCACTAGCACGTTGTAGCTTTCCACAGATTTGTGTCTTCTTCAAAATCTTCCAGTTTTCTAAGTACAGGTCTTCCCCTACGGTGGTCAAATTTATTCTTAGGTATTTTACTCTTTTTGATGCAACTGCAAATGAGATCATTCTGTTAGTTTCTCTATGTGGTAGTTTGTTATTGGTGTATAAAAACGTAACCAATTTCTGAATATTAATTTTGTGTCCTACTTTACTAAATTCCTTTATTAGTTCAAATAGCTTTTCTTTTGGATTCTCTCTATACTGTATCTATATGCTGACATATAGAGATACAATATGTATCTCTATATGTCAGCAGCAAATAATGACTTTTACTTTGCTTCCTGCTCAAATACTATTTCATTTTCTTCTCTGATTGCTGTTGCTAAGATGTTCAATACTATGTTGAACAAAAGTAATGAAATCAGACATCCTTGTCTTGTGTCTTGTTGCTGATTCTAAAGAAAAAGCTGTTTTTCACTGTTGAGCATATTAGCAGTGGGTCCGTCATACATGGCCTTTATCATGTTGATATTCACCATATTCCTACTTTGATGAGTTTTTAATGAAAAACGGATGTTGGACTTTGTCAACTGTGTTTCCTACAATCTATTAATATCATGATCTGTATTCTTCATTTTTATAATGTGGTGTATCATATTAACTGATTTGCCAATATTGAACTAGCTTGACATCCAGGAATAAATCCCACTTGATAGTGGTGTATGATCTTTTTAAGTATTGCTTAATTCGGTTTACTAATGTTTTGTTAAGGATTTTTAGATCTATGTTCATGAGAGACATTAATGCCTGGCTCGTTAAATGGGTTTTGGAGCCTCCCCCTCTTTAATTTTTTGGGATTTTTTTAGGACAGTACTAATTACTCTTTGAATGATGGTAAAATTCAAGTGTGAACCCATCTATCTGGTCCAGGGCTTTTGTTTGTTGGAAGTTATGATTACTGTTTTGATTTTATTAGTAATTATTGGTCTGTTCGGACTTTGGTCCTGATTCAGCTTTGGAAGAGTCTATGTTTCTAGGAATTGACTGATCTCTTCCTGGACGTCCCATTTGTTGGCATTTAACTGTCCGTAGTATTTCCTGATCATTCTTTTATTTCTGTGGAGTCGGCTGTCTCTTCTCCTCTTGGAGTTCCATGCGCACTTGAGAAAAATAAGTCGCCCAGTCGAAGGTGTCGTTTGAGGCCGCTGTCTCCTCACTGACTTTGCCTGGATGACTTGCCTGCCGATGTCGACGTGGTGCGAGAGCCCCTTCGGCCACTGCGTTGCCGTTGGTCTCTTGCTTTACGCCAGTCACGGTTTGCTCCACACACTCAGGTGCTCCTATGCTGGGTGCAGAGATGGTCACAAGAGTTGCCTTCTTGACACACTGACGCTTTTACAGTTACAACATGCCCTTCTTTGCCTCTTGTCATTGCCACTGTGTTCAGGCCTGTCTTGTCGGATGTAAGTACTGCCGGCCCAGCTTTACTTCAGTTTCCATCCCTTTAACTTTCTAGTCAGTGTGTATCTTTCGATCTGAAGTGACCTTCTCCCAGGCGGCCTAGCTGCAGGTCTTTTTATTTATTCACTCAGCCGCTCTATGTCTTTTCATTGGAGCATTCAGTCCAAAGTAATTATTGATAGGCATGTAGATTATTGCCATTTTGTTCATTGGTCTTTGGTTATTTTTGTAGTTTTTCTCTGTCCTTATTCTCTTGTATGTTGATGACTCTTCATTTTGTGCCTGGATTCCTTTTTTTTTAATCTACTGTAGATTGTTTCAGGCTCAAAGTAGCTTAGAGAATATAAAGTTCTAATTAAAGAAGAGAACCCCAATGAGATTTGGGTTTAGGTTTATCAGATTGCAATGTAAGTATAAATTTCTCTACCCATGATAAAACAAAAAAGTTTCTAAGACAGAGTTTTAATAATGGTAGCTGGTAGTTAATGAACTTGAGAATGGCTATAAAAAGTACACAATTTCAGAGCTGCAGCTGCATTATTTTTTAATAGTTTTTTTCTTTTCACTTAAAAAATTATTTTTATTATTTTTTGTTGATTTTTTATTTATTATGCCATTTGTTCTATTCCCCCCGTTCCCCTCCACCCTGCACACCCCTCCCCCACCATTCCCCCCTTTAGTTCATGAACACGTGTCTCAAGTTCTTTAGATTCTGTATTTCCCCTACTATTCTTACCCTCCCCCCTATTTTCTATCTACTGTCTATGCTACTTATTTTCTGTACCTTCTCCCCCCTTCTCCTTCTCCTCTGTTGCTAATCCTCCATGTGATCTTCATTTCTATGGTTCTGCTCCTGATCTAGCTGTCCTCTTAGTTTGCTTTTGTTTTAGGTGTGGTTGTTGATAACTGTGAGTTTGCTGTCCTTTCACTGTTCATCTTTATCTTCTTTTTCTTAGGTAAGTCCCTTTAATATTTCATATAATAAGGGCTTGGTGATGATGAACTCCTTGAATTTGGTCTTATCTGAGAAGCACTTTATCTGTCCTTCCATTCTAAATGAAAACTTTGCTGGATAGAGCAATCTTGGTTGTAGGTCTTTGGTTTTCATGACTTGGAATACCTCTTTCCAGTCCCTTCTTGCCTGGAAGGTCTCTTTTGAGAAATCTGCTGACAGTCTGATGGGAACTCCTTTGTAGGTGACTGTCCCCTTAGCTCTTGCTGCTTCTAGAATTCTCTCCTTCATTTTAATCTTGGCTAATGTAATGATGATGTGCCTTGGTATGTTTCTTCTTGGGTCCAACTTCTTTGGGACTCTCTGAGCTTCCTGGATTTCCTGGAAGTCTATTTCCTTTTTGCCAGAAGGGGGAAGTTCTCCTTTATTAGTTGTTCAAATAAGTTTTCCACTTGTTGCTGTTCCTCTTCCCCTTCTGGTGCCCCTATAATTCGGATGTTGGAACGTTTAAAGATGTCCTGAAGGTTCCTAAGCCTCTCCTCATTTTTTTTGAATTCTTGTTTCTTCATTCTTTTCTGTTTGGTCATTTTTTCTTTCCTTCTGGTCTACTCCCTTGATTTGAGTCCCAGTCTCCTTTCCATTACTATTGATTTCCTGCGCACTTCCATTCATTTCAATTAGTTTAGCCTTCATATGTTCCTCTAATTTGTGACTAAAATCAACCAGTTCTGTGAGGATCCTGATCACCAGTGTTTTGAACTATGCATCTGAAAGTTTGGCTATTTCTTCATCACTGAGATTTATTGTCTCTGGGGCTCTGAGTTGTTCTTGAGCCATGTTTTTATCTGTTTGTGCCTATTACGTATGAGGAACGGAGCCTTAGTTATTTACCAGGGCAGGGCCACCCAGGTCGCTGGTTTGTGATGCTGTATGTGGGGGCAGGGTCAGAGAGGGACAATGGAGGTCCTCTCCGCTCGCCCAGTCCGTCCCACCGCTGGCCCCGGACTGTTTATCTGAGCGGAAATGTGCGAGCCTGCCACCCTGCGCCATGCGGTCTCAATGCTCGCCTCTTCACTGGTTTATCTGCACACAAATGCTCGACCGACTGCAGACAGCCAGCCGTGCATGTGTCCCCCTGTAGCTAGCCCGCACCTAAGATCGGCTGCTCGCTCACCACCCTGGTCGGGGATCTTTTTGGCCAACCTGCTCCACTGCTGGCTTCGCCCCTCTTACCGGTTTAGCTGAGCATTTTGTTGTTTTCGGACTCTATTGTCGATTTTCTGTGTGGTTTGGTTGCATTTATTGTTGTCAATACTTTATGGTTTTTAGATTTGGTTGTGTGCGGACGCAGTGTTTCCACCTATGCCTCCATCTTGGTGGAAGTCTCCCTTTTTTAATAGATTTTAAATACTGCCATTTCCCAGAAATGTCATACCTCAGATGATCTCTCTCTGTAAGAAATTGTAACATGTTCAACTGAGACATCAAAACACACTTAAAATAACCACCACAAAAATGTACCTGCAGTTGAAAGGTCAGATTTATTAGGAGACGAAGAGATGTATTGTACGTGAACTATAAATACAGCACAGCTGACTTGATTCCCAGAGATCGAGTTGGTGCCAGTCTATTTTGTGGATACTCTTGTTCTTTTGTTCCAAGAGAAGTTTGCGCCATAAGACTTGGACTTGGGCTTCGGAACCTTCCTCTCCTCAATGTCATAGCTCCATCCTAGAAAACAAACACAAACTTACAGGAAGAGAATTAAAGAGTACGCCTGAGAACCCAGCGAGCAGAGGCTCACGTCCATAAATCTCGCGTCCATTTATCATCAGGGCATGTCAACACATCTGAAATAGAAACACTTACTTAGTAATCCCTTCCCTTAATATTCTGGGTGATAAGCAGGTTCAAAACATTGCCTGGAGATGATTTCCCATGTCCTAAAGGGGTAACCCGTCACTCGACTGCTCCCTGTCAATATTCTTTGTTCAATTAGCGGTGGTGAGATAAGAAAACCTCCGCTCCTCGCTCTGGTTCACGATGTGACGTCTGCAACAGCTGCCTCGAGGAGCTCTGACCACGGAAACCCCCCTCGCTGTTTCTGAACGCAGGTGCCTTGCGACAGCTTGGAGCTCACTCAAAGCGACCACACAAACATGCACAGGCTCATCTGGGTAAGTCACAGAGTTGGAACAGACAACGGGGGGTCACTCCACGCAGCCCCCTGGGCTTTGACAGGCTACTGGTGAAACTCAGAACGCTTCTCAACATTTGCCGCAAGGCCGTCTGCAGCAGAATCCCATGGAGGTACCTGACAGTGCACACTGGTGCCCAACCAAAGGCCCACTGGGTCAGACACGCGGGCAGGAGCCTGGGTGCCCGCACCCGACGGCTGACGCGGGAGACTGCTGTGCGTGGAGGCTGGGGAAGCGCCGTCCACAGCGTGGACCCTCACAGCGGGCTGAGGCACGCCCTCCTCCTCACGGACCACCAAGCCCCTCCTCCTTTCCCAGTCCACACAAGGTGGACCCCCGCACCTTTCGCTTTTCCTCCCAAGACCCACTACCGTCCCTGCGACTCATCACACTGGCTCTCAGGACGTCCTCACACAACTCATCTTGACACGGCCGGTCCAGGGCTGAGCCACGACCCCGTGTCCAAAACGTCCAGAACAAGTGCTGCGCAGCCTCGCTGAGGACGCCTCCGACCTCGGGCAGCGTCCTGAGCCTCATGCTTCCCGGTGTCTCGTGCCCCTGGAATCACCACACGGCCCAGAGGCGCAGCCTCGGGAACTCGGGCCATCGGAGGACACAGCCCCTGCTGCCGACTGCGCCATGCAGCAAGGGGCGGTGACGCATGGCCGGTGATGAACGCCTGACCCCGCTGCTGGCACACCTCTCTGCTCACCACGAGGACGCGAAGCAGCGGAAAAGCCAATGACACACCAGAACCCAGGAGAGGAAACCCTGACCCGACCCACTCGGCTAACACGGCCCTCCCTGCAGAGAAGAGGGCGCTCTGAGCGCCCCCACCCGCGGACGCTGCACCGAGGACACCGTGAAGCTCTGGCTCTCTGCGGGGCAGCCTGGCACGTGGCTACCGCACTTCAAAACCTGACCGAAGGGCACCTGCACGTGCCCACTCCACAGACTGTCGTGGGGATTAAACAAGCTACTGCCTGCCAGGTGCTCAGAGAGCACCTGACCCTCGGTACGTCATCGAGCCACACGAGAAAGGCGCTTTTCTGAAACCTTTGTCCGTCTGAGGAAACTGAGGCACAGAGGGCTGGGACTCAGCTGGGAAGGGGCAGAAGCTGGGCCCCCCCGCAGCCTGACGGCGAGGCTGCGCCCTCACGACCCCGTCCCCAGTGGCACACAGCAGGCACTGGACAGGTGTCAGCCCACGCTTCCCCCTCAAATTCGATGTGTAACTTACTTGCACCTTCCATGTGACATTAGTGTAAATAAAAGTTCTATCACACTGGAACCCGTAATTTTGAATTTGTAGTGCTCTGATCTAGTTAGGTATAATTTGGCCTGGTCACTAAAAACAGGAAGGCGTTCTAATAAGCAAATTACTACTGAGAGCTGGGCATGATATTGAAGGAACTTTAACATTATGAACTTCTCAGGTACTTCCTTCATTAATCAACAAATGACGATGGTAACTGTCAGAAATACTCACTCCAACAAAGTAGGTAAACAATAACAACACTGAATGAGTGTTTACCATTCATTTAGTAAATGGTACTGACTGCCCACTCAGGGACTGTTCAGACATCAGGGGTACAGCAGTGAATGAAACAAAACATCCTCAAACTTCCAGGCAGCAGAGGCGGAGAAATCAGTAAGGGGATGCACCACACAGATGCCAGTGTAGTGACACCAACGATTAAACGTGTGCCTCACATGCCCACGTGCACCGAGGAGCAAGCACTGCGAGCAGGCAGCCTGCCCGAGGTCACACGGGAGCAAGGACCTGCAGCTGCAGCGAGAGGGCAGAGACCGGGTCCCAGAGTCTGGGCCCAGGACTCGCAGGCAATGACGTCGGGTACTTGGGCCTTGCGGCAGGAAGGCCTGCTGTTCTGTGCCCCATGTTCTCTGTCCCAAGTGCCTTAAATGTACTGTTACTGAGTTTGAAAATTCAGTTCACAAGTCCTATGGCTTATGAGGTAGGCATTATGTGACACCAATTTTATATTTAATTATGAGAAAACAAAGCGTAGAGAAGATAAGCAGCCCACAGCCACCTGGCTACTAAGTGGCAATGCCAGGATTTTAACCAGGCTGACTTTAAAGCTACCCACTTAACCGCCTCATAAATAAAACCACTTCTACAAAAACGTCCTGTAATGGCCATTTTTATCCATGCCACCCATTCCTTTCCATCTCTGTGACTTCGCAACTTTGTTCCCCTTCACGTTTGTAAGTGCTCCCACCCATCGCCCACCGGCTGGGGAGAAAGGGGCAGAGGTTTCTGCGCAGACGCTGCGTCTGCCCAACGACCATGCCGGTAGGTGGCCCCACGCCTCCCGGGCCGTCCCTGCCACACGCAGGGCAGAGCACGCAGGCTCTGCTGCGGGGAACGGGGCTGAGGAAGCCACCTGCTGGAACGCAGCCGGGGCAGCGCCTACACACACCTGGTCACTGCTCTTCCACTCCGATGACCTGGCTCCCTGCCGCACTGGGGAGGGGACACTGGTGCTCCTGTGTCAGGACACGGCCCAGCTCCAGTCCCGGGTCTGTGCGTGAGTCGGAAAAGCCCCCAGGGTCCCTGGGAGGGAGAGGCTTTGTGCAGGCAGAACCACAGGCTGGGCCCCTGCTGCCCAGGGGGCGTGCTGGCTCCCAGGCACATGGGGGCCAGGCCTCGGCTGCCATGACGGTGGAAATGACGGTGAACAGAGTGTCATGACGGAGCCTGGACAGGGCGGGCAGAGCCCCCTGCACGAACCACCAGACAGACAGACACGGGGAGACCTGCGCCTGCCACCAGCACCCACCTCTAGGCACAGCTCGCCACGGCCACCGTGACCGCCAGGTGGGCGGTGTTCTTCCCTCGCACTTTCCTGTGAAAACAACAGTGTTCCCAAGGCCACACAAGCCGCTGAAGCAGAGGCGGGCACGGGGACGCGTGATGACAGTCACAGCAGAGACAAAGGCGGTCCCAGTCCAGTGCACCCCCTTTGGGTTTGCTGCCCCCACTCAGGAAATGTGCCCACCGCGCAGGGCTGACGTCGTAGTAACCGCTGTCTCTCTTCTGACCCGGTTCAGCACCCGAGCGCCTTTCCGCACCTCGTTCTCCCATGTGCCTGCGTGAACAAGTGCGGGCACTAGTCCCGCTCCCTCCCAAACTGCTTCTGTCACAGTGCGCAGCACAAAGGCTTCCGGAGCAGGAGCGCACCTTGGCGAGTGGGACAAACCGCACTGGCTGCTGGACACCAGCACCCGAAGGGACCTTACACACGTGTACCGAGCGGGGCACACGACCTGGACTGGACTCATCCTCCCCAATTCCCACCTGAACTTGTTCGTGAAAAGAAAGAGCATGATGTGACTGGCAAGCAATACCATGCAGAAATTTAAAAGTGGATCTTCGTGAAATGTTTAAATTTCTACGAGAACTTCTTTTCAACTGCCCTTGTTATCAAAGCAGCATGCTTACGGTAAAACCTCTGGTACACTTAAAATGAGATCTGTACAATGCTATGCTCCATTCTCCCCCCAGAAATATGCCCATTTATTTTGTAGTCTCCCCACTGTAGCTGGGACATTCTACTTTCTGCAAGAACGCTTGCTGTATTCTTTTCAAATGCCACCAAAACCAATAAACAAAACATAAAACCTCTGAACAAACCAGACCACAACAATTAACTTGTGAATTCCACGTGTGAGACAGAAAAAGAAAATCAATTCCATTTATTTTAACTCACAGAACCGTTTTCTACTTGGCCCAGTAACGCAAGGACAAAGAGACACTGGTCAGGGCTTTACCCACTCCCAGGCCTCTCCTCTGGCAACCCGACCCCGGCCCTGGCCGTGCCATGACTGTTGCCTGCTGCCCACCTGCGTGGCCTGGACGGGCAGGGCTGGCAGCCGCTGCGGACGGGGCCACGCGTGCCGGTGCTTGTGGGGCTGGAGGGCTCCTCGCCAGGCGATGTACCCACCGCTGCCCGGGTGAGACGAGCGTCAACTAAAGACGCAGGTTAAAGGGGGAGGGAGCTTTTCGGGAAGTTCACTTCACAAGTCTCTCTGCTTTGAGACTCCCAGGTATCTGATCTTTGGGGTGGGAAGAGTGGGGGTTTCAGAACAACGTAAAAGTACCTTGGTCCTCTTCTAGAAGATGAAATGGAGGACATTTTGGATACACTGGCAAGGCGATTCTTCCTACGGAAACTGCATGAAATGATTTACGCTAGCACGTAAGGGGATAATGGCAGGCCTGAGACACCTGAGAGGAGCAGCCCCCATCAGGCCACAGCTGCAGCCCCCCCGAAGAGCCCCGCCTGCGGCGGCACAGGCAGCCCCACCTTCAGTCTGGTCTCCCCACACTCACCTGCTGTGAGTATGATTCAAATACACCCAAAGCGGCGTCGGAACCACGTCGCTCAGAATCCGACACAAAACAAACTGGTTTGTGTTCCACAAGTATATTTGAAACTCAGTTACTAGAAATTCAAGACACGTTTTTTATAGAAAAGTCTGCGCAACAGTGTGGATGTCCAAAAATCA